TTCTTTTTTAGTTGCTACTGATCCTCCCAGGTTCAGTTGCTTCTTCTATTACATAATTTCGAGATTTCTCTTTAACCGTTTTCTAAAAATCCAGTTCACTGCAAAGGTACCACTGTAGCGTTTTCGTGTGCATGACAATGATAAAGTATTGCGCCAATTGGTCACATGCGTTTAACTTTTCATTACATGTTTAATCACACTGTCTAATTGTTACTTAATCATCCAACCGGTTCAAGTGGACCAGCAAAGTCGTATGGAGTCGAATCACAGGTTTCTAGGCTCAACTTTCACATTCCGCTCCTTTCCTGCCTTATACTCTATATACAAAGCAGTTTGTTTCAGCTGCTGGTGTGCAATTTATGTGCTCAACTGTTGTGTTGTTGAAGAGAAAATTGTAATTGTTTATTGAATTGCAATGTTTTGAGTAAACTTGGTGATCACGAAATCTATCAGGTGTTGATCGGTCGAGACATAACAATGAGTTACACTGAACAATGAGGTGATATTAATAATGAGCTGATAAGAAAAGAATGATTTTGCACCGCTTAAAGTATCAATGATGATCTGTAACTGACACAGATACGATGCAGTAACGAGACGATGAGGCCGAGGTAGTAAATCAACAATGTATATATAAAGTTTGCCTAATGCGACTTTCAGATGAGCACCTCCAGCAGCGTTTATCGGCGTGTTCCGTCCTCGAAGAAAACGCCACCGTCCAGTGAGCAGTATTTCGGGCAAATACCTCTCTCTCCACCTTTGCCTGGATTTCCAGCTGTTCCCTTTTCTCCAGCTTGTCCGTCGGTTCCTGGTTGTCCATCTGCGCCATTCTCACCAGGTGGTCCTTGAGGTCCAGGTAGGCCATCCTCTCCAGGTTGTCCAGGGGGTCCTCGTGGCCCAGGTGGTCCTTGATCACCTGCAATCGAACAACTTTCATTTCGAGGATTTCAATTGAACTGCTCATTTTCGTGGTGAATACACAGCTATTGTCGCATACCGTCACAGTCATTTGGTCTCTAGATTGTATCTCGTTCATTCAGGTGTCTGACCTCACCATATCCGATCTAACGACAGCTCATGAAATACTGAGGTCAAATATTCAGCTGTTCATCGAATGCTCAATTCCATGAAGCTCTGCACCACACCAAAAATCACTGTTAAAGTATTCGACTGAACTAATTTTACTACATTCACAATGTAAAACTGCGCAACTAACAGTTAGAAAACCATTCAGTTCTTCCGGACTTATCTCAAAGAATACAACTCAATATCTCCAAAACGTGTCTTCATCTTCTCAGCTCCCTGCATTTTTGGCTTGTGGTATTCCATCAGAAATGAGTTGACGCATGTGCACTACCGAATGAGCTTTTTGAACTCACTTCAGTTTCAATTATCTCTCCATCTTTATAATTTCATAAATTTCTCCAATAACCACATCAGAACTCATCTCTAGTGAATGTGATTCAGTTAAGTGGTAGGGAAAATCTGGACTGTTCAAACAGATTAAAGATACGCTTTCTCACAAGGATAATGGGCTTAGAAATCATAGTTCGGCGGGACTAACATTTCTTTTCACACCAACGTTCATAAAGGTAATGTAATCAGAACAATTAAAATCTCAAGTGTTTGAGCAAATCATTTTGTTTGTGTCTCTGTGACGGATTACTATGAAGCTTCGACAACTCTCATCAAAAAGACACTGCACGTCAATGAAGTTATTTGTCGAAATTGAATTCTTCTCAGTTTTCTCTCCATCTTTATTAATTTTTCAAACAATCGCATCGGAATTTATGAAGGGCTTTCAATGGGCGCAGAATCGAACGTACGTCATCTTTGCTCATCAGATCCTCAGGTCAGTGTGTGAGCCAATAATACATCACCGTTTCTATCGAATCTAATTTCGTACGCCCTTCTCACATCATCTATTTATGCCGGCTGTTCGCGCGAGCTACGACATAATGCACCGCGCTTGTCAGTCAGAAACAACAACTACTCACCTTGTTCTCCTGGCTCTCCAGATTCCAGTGGCTCATCTGGAGCGTCTTCACCAGGTGGCCCTTGTGGTCCTGGTGGTCCAGTTGAACCAGCGATACCTTGGTCTCCTTGTGGTCCAGGTTCTCCTGTTGGGCCATCCATTCCAGTGTCTCCAGCTGGTCCATCAGATCCGGGGTCGCCAGCATCTCCAGGTGGTCCAGGTGGGCCAATGGGACCTTGTGGGCAAGGTTTGCACGGTGGAGGAGTGATTGGTTCGCATGGCTGGCTTGGTGGTCTTCCAGGATTTCCGGGGAGTCCAGGAGCACCAGGTTTACCGGGCTTTCCTGGTCGTCCAGTTGGACCCTTTGGACCTTGAGGTCCTGGCATGCAACATCCAGAGCATTTTTCTTTTTCTGCTTGCACGACAACGCTCTCAACTGCCTCTACCTCGCCGACCTCATATCCAGCCTGTCGAGCCGTTCGGTTTACCGCTCTCTCCGACTGCCTGATTTTTCCAACTTCATACCAAGTTTCTTTCGCTGATCCCTTAAAATCAATCACTTTTCCAATGGTCTACATTATAAACGTCCTCAAATCCATTCATCTTTCTTTCTCCAGCTTCCAATAGTCTTTCGTTCACTAAGATTTGTTTCATAACTTAATTTATCGAGGGGACGAAGGAGCAGTTTCGGAAAATGGAATATCATGCACTGCAATCGATATGGTGAGCACTCTATGCAAATTCTTTTAGACACTTTAGATGTTCTAGTATTTTGTGGTATGCTCCATATTGCATGCAACAAGCTCACAGCGGCACTTTCTGCAGTTCGAATCATTCACAGCGTTTATGAGAACGATCGCCGTTTTTATTTTCGCATCATTTCTCATTAATTTCTCAGTAATGCGCCTCACGCTTCACTATCCTTCCTTATTTCCTATGGCATGAGGCTTTCATAAGTAGGTGAGAGATGTTTTCATAACTATGAGATGTTTTGCATCATTGATTTCCAAGTACTTTCATAG